GGGCCAGAGTTACCACCCACCTGCAGCATGCAGCCGTAGTCGGCGAAGCCCTTGAGCTCGTCGGCGATGCACATGCCGAACTGCTTGGTTCCCGTCTCCATGGAGCGGCGGATCATGAGGCGGTAGCGCGGCTCGAAGACGTGCAGCGGGCAGGGGATGGTGGGGAAGGCCATGGTGCACACGAAGATGGGCACTTCCTGGTTCAGGCTGGGGGGGAGAAAGCGCGGAGAGAATCTTACTTTGAGCACTTTGAAACGCTCGGCATTCTGGGACCTGTGTGAGAGTGTGTGTGTGTGTGTGTGTGTGCGTGTGTGTGTCAGACTTACTTGGAAAGCTCGTTCATCTCCTCCTCGTGGATTTTCTTCCGCTCCGCCAGCTCGTCGCCAAGGTAACGCAGCAGGACCTCCTCCATCAGAAGGGTCTTATTGTAACCTCTGGTCGCGAGATACTGAGGCAACACAGACGGAAAAAAGCAAAAAACAGCAATTAGCCCGCGTTATGAGCCCAGATGTCTCGTTTAAATGGCAGCTAATGCTAATGCTTAAGCAGACGTGGATGGAGCTGTACCTCAGACAGGTTCTCCTTGCACAGGGGGCAGTTGGGGTTGTGGTCCATGCAGCGCTCCAGACACTTGAGGCAGAAGGTGTGTCCACAGGGCGTGGCCACGGGCTCGTAGAACAACCTGAAGCACAAACGGCCGACAGCGTTAGCGGCCCGCTCGGCTAAGCTAACGCGTTTGGATGGAATAAGGAAGATGCGGTCACCTCATGCAGAGCGAGCACTCCAGGTCTCCGCTGTCCAGCAGCTCGGCGGGAAACAGCCGCCCGCCGCAGGCCGCCGCCGTCCGGGGGGCGTTCTCATCTGCGGGGAAAAGGACAGCGCGGCGTCACATGACCTTCTGCTGCCCGACAGGTGAAACCAATCTGGTTCCAAGTGGTTTCACTTTAAAAATGGTGAGTTAATGTTTTTTTTAAATCTGGCTCATTAAGGGTTTCAGGATTCTACTGTGTGCTGCTTTTTGTGGCTTGGGCTAGGCCTGTTCCTATCCTGATATTTGAAAAAAAAAAATAGGTATCGGCCGGCAGGAGAAAATGATGATCTAGACTCCCGATCTCGTGTTTTTTTTTGTTTGTTTTTTAAAGTCTGATCCGTTTTCCAGCGCACCGATTAAAATAATCCATTCGACTTTGCTTTGTTGTTCCCTGATATCCGGTCCAGTAATTTCCAGCACACCGTTAATCTTTAGCATCTGTAACCCACAGGTCTGTGTCCTAACCATTAAGTTGTTATCAGAGTAAATTCCTGTTCAACATGAGTCTGACAACTAAGTAAGTAGATAAATAACTTTAAACTTTAATACATGGTCTGATAGGCCGGGATCGGGATCAGATCAGAAGTGAAAAAAAACTGGATCGGGAAATCCCTAGCTTAGTCTCATTTCTTATATTCTGAGTTGCTACTGAAAGCCCATTTAAACAGACAGGTTTTAAACAGAGCTGAATAAATAAGAAAACAAACTTTTTTTAATCATAACACAAAAGTGAGACTGTGGAGTCTGTGGAGCTCTGTGGTGTCAATAATTATTCATTTAGTCTTAGTGTTTGTGAATTCTCACAGAGAAGCCGGCGCAGCCTAATCTAATAGAAGTTTCTTAAGGTCTGACGAACGAATGTTGGCGCTCTGTCCTACCGGGTCTGGGGAGTTTGGAGGGAGGGTTGAAGGGTCCGTCGCCGCTGTGCTTCCTCTTGAGGCCTCCGGGGGGCGCCGGCAGAGAAGCTAGAACGTCGGCCAGACTCTTGGAGCTGCCCTCCCCGGCAGAGTGGGACTGACCGGGGGTCGGGGCCGAGGCCCTGGAGGAGCCCTCGTCTGCTGGGGCACTTTTAGAGTCCTGGATGCACAGATGGAAGGAGTACATGGTGAGCGAGTCCAGGGAGGCCGATCGGGGGGGGGGGGGGCAGGAGGCACTCAGCTAGGTATTCTGAGTGAGGTGTGAAATGCTAAGTAGGTGTCTGGTGCTCTAACAGTAGCTTCTGCTCTCTCTGGGAACCCCGCCGGCGACGAAAGCTCCCACGGCTCAAAGGAAATCAAATTGTACCTTACCTCCGGCTAATTACACAAATGTGCCCTTTGGGGTCATTTGGCGACAGTCGGCATGGTAACACTCACAGCTGACCTGACCCAGCGCCACTTTGCTGGGTCTCTTTGCATGAGGAGCATCTAAAAAAAACAAACTAAAAAACAACCTGAAAAAACAGACTAAAAAGAACCTGAACGCACCACAAAGATGGACAAAAACTCCAGGAAGTAGACAAATATCAAGCACCTAAACGCACCACAAAGGATGATCAAAAGAAGGAGAGTGAGCTCTTAAAGGGGCCGATGCTCAACTGTGTAAAGCCTAAAGTCACCAACGTTTCCGGCTTCAAAAAGTCCAACTTTAGCCGAAGTAACAGAACAGATGACGCATCTGACTTCTGTGATTCTGTCTGATCATGTCAGTTATGAAACAGGATTTGAACAAAAACAGTAATTATGCATTTGGGGATAAGAGACTTTGGGTGACCATTGTTGTATACGCACTAACCAGGTGTGGAAAGGAGGCCCACTGAGATGGGAACACAGTTCAGCACAGAGGAAAACTGAGAGCCGAACGGTGCGTTTGTGTACCTGTGAGGAGCAGCCGGGCTTCTGGGCCAGCGGCCTCAGGGACCTGAGCAGCACGGGGGGTTTGATGAGGCGGGCGGCGTGCCCCCCCTGCAGGGGGTGCAGCGGCGTGCGGAGGTCCTCGTTCTCGAAGACGGAGGAGAAGAGCTCGCTGAGGACCTGAACAACACACAGAGGACAGACAGAATTAGGAAGAGCCAAAGAGGCAAAGCTCAACTCAACTCAAATTTATCTATAAAGCGCTTTCAGTCAGCCAAAGCTAAAATCAAAGCGCTGTACAGGCCACTTGTGCGAATCATAAAACACAGTTATCACCTCCACACAAGACAAAGATTAAAAACCGTAAGAGCAAAAAAACAAAAAACAAAAGCTGTTGAGATCAGCATTCAAACTTTACTCTGGTTTGTCATTAGATTCACTTTTAACCTCTAAATTTGATCAGGAAATCACCATTGTTTTTGCGTGTTAGCTGGATGGTAACCATGAGACGTTTCAGTCCCCGTGAGTCTGCTTTCATGTTCTTTTTGCAGCTTTTCACGGTAACCTTTTGGCCCTTTGCTCACATGGTTCTGCTGGGGTTTTATTCCCATTAGAAGAGGCTCCATGTGATCGTCTATATCATAAGAACTGAGCTCTGAGACGTCTTCTATATTCAGTGGTTCCCATGGAAATCAACATGAGTCAACATATTAGTCGAATGTGGTTAGAAGTTGAAGTTCGGGTCAAATGCCACCTCTACTGTCCCTTAATGAGCCAGATTTAAAAATAACATTAACTCAGCACGACAGAGCGCGTGCTTTGTTTGTGTTTGGAGGTCATGTGACTCACGTGTTTCCTTCCAGTTTCATAGCAATGTGGGATTACTTAGTATTATGTATTTCTGATATTTTACAGTAAAGAAAAACACTTTGGTGCTTTACATAGAAAATAAGTTTTAGCCCTGAAAATGTTAAAAGTGTGATTACCCAACAGCCAAAAGGCCAACATCACACTTACAGTTTGCCCTAAAATGGATATTTAAAGCCCCAGTTTGCTGAAAATCCCTCTTACCTTCTGGGTCTCCAGCTTCACTTTGGTCCAGCCGGGCTTTAGCGCCACACACAGGAGGTACTCCTGCAGAGCCTCGTCGTTCCGGCCAGCTTTACTCAGAGCTGTGGCCTTCAGACAGTGAGCCTTTAATAAGATTAAAAAAATAAAAAAAACAGCACGTGTCAGTGGGATTACAGCAAGCCAACATCCGCTCCCATGTTAAAAAAAAAAGCTTAATGCTGTCGGGTCCTTTAACGGGAGGTGATCGAAGCCTCATCTCTGCAGGTTCATTTACAATAAAAGACTAAAACTAAATGAACTAATTGACTCACAGCTTCCAAACCATTACATTTGCCTATCCTGGACATCAGGAAACCCACAAAATTAACTGAATACATTCTAACTGAGGTGTCTCTGACAGAAAAAACTGATCTGAACATCACTGGTTTTGTCAGATTTGTAAGCATGTTAGATACTTAGATTTGAAATAAAAATGTGCAGCTATATGATTCAGACCGATGCCTGTAAGCGTTTCCCCGCAGAGGGTCTGACTTCCTGGAACCAGCATTTGCCATCAGCTGACAGAGACACCACGATGATAACGGCTGATGTAAGACGGATCCTATCAAACGGCTCTAGCTCCGGATAACGTGGAATTGGCTTTACCCCGACAGAAGCAAAACGTTTGACATGTGACACACAAACCGGAGCTCTGCTAGCTATCATAGGAGCCGGATGAAGGGATTTCTGCTGTGTTGGGTTCAACATGGCTAGACTAAACAAAGGACGGAAACCTTTAACACAGAGTTAGACCGTAAGGGGATGATTGTTGATCTAAGAGGAGAAAAGTCCTGCATATCTTAAGTGGGATGCTGAGAAAAAAAAAAAACACCTGTTTATACGACCAGCCGGCCTTTTCTCAGGGGAGGAGACTCACCTTTGTCCAGAGAGGTTTAAGGCCACAGAGGACGTTGGCGTCCAGCGCCGCCTGGCTGAAGTTCCTCATCTCCATGTGCAGCTCGGCCCGCTGGCACAGCAGCCGGCCAGCAGAGGGCGCTGCACACAACACAGAGGAGAGACACGCAGCAGTTCAGTAGACAGGCGGTTTTTCTAGGTCTGGCAGAAGTAGGGCAATAATGTAACATGTGGCGGTGGAGCGGCGTCCCCGGGGAGAACACAGTGTTAAGGATGGTAGGGGGGCCAAACCGGGTGGGGGGGGGCTCCCATCGCCCTCATTAAGCAACGACACCGAGTTATGAAACCGTTTTGCATTACATCGTCTTAGTCACTTTCATTTCTTTGAAGACACTAGAGGAAAATAAAAATAGCTGTCCCAAAGGGACTCTTCCATTCTCCGACCATTTAGATCTGCAGGACTTTAGTTAGAAGTCATTTAACAAAACTCCAGCTGTTTCAGATCAGGATAAGAAGTACTATTAATCAACCGCAGCATGGGGATGCAACAGGCATTTAGACGCTGACATTTTTATTGGTTAAATGCATCTGGAAGCAGATCAGATGGACTAGAGTTCATAATGAATCTGAATCTGCATGCGAGGACAAAATATCAGTTTAGTTTAGAGCAGAACAAAGTGAAAGTGAAGTTGTTTTCCACTTTTGCTAAGAGTCTGTAGAGGTTGAAACGCACAAACCAAAGCAATTCACAGAAAAAACAGGAGCCATAACTGTAATTCCCTTCAATGTGATGTGCTCACTGCTGACTTTCTGCTTCCCTTCCTCAGTGGGAAGTGCAGCTAATCACAAAAACAACAACGACAGGGAACATCGGCCACGTGCAAACGCAGGCTGCACACTCAAAACTGCAGAGCTCCTAATGACAGCCAGGCCTTTAAAATGTCAAAATAAGAAAATTATACACGTGTAATTCACTCAATGCTCCGTTTATCTTTTTAAGTTTAAAATAAATAAAGTATAAGTGGAAATTGTCTGGCAGGCTGACGTTTTTCATCCTTTTTTTTCTGTAGTTCGCCAGTTAAATCATAGAGTGTAAAAAAAAAAAAGATGGGGAGAGATGTATTCAGCTGCTGTTTTTTCCCCTTTTGGGGACGAGGTTTCAGTTACACCGCAGAATACAAAAATAACTCGAGAGCATACTGCTGCATTTTTAAATGTGGTCAGCGCATTCAAATGGATGAGGGGGGCACTCTTCCAAAGGAAACGACTAATAAGGTTAAGGAACCTCCAAATTATTAGGTTTGATCAGTTCAGAAAAAATGATGTTTCAAAGCACCATAAAAGGTGGAAAAAGGTTTTGTTTCTGAACTAAACCGGCATGCTTCTGGGACACAGACGTGTAATCTCAGGCATCTCTTCCAGGATGGAGTCGTGTGGCGTTTGTGTTCAGGTGCAGCCTAACAGACTCCCGCGGAGCAGGTGATCACAACAGCACGTGTACGCGTGGCCGTGAGAACAAATCCCTTTCAGAGCAGAACGAGATGTGTCTGTCACACCATTTTCTGTCCATAAAAGGACCAATTCAGTTCCAATTTGGGGGGTAAAACAGTCAAACCCCAGTTCAGACGTATTGTTGTTCCATTTGGAAATGAGGTCATTCCTCTTTTACCGGGATGGAAAATGACAGCAGATCAATCTGAGCCATCTGAGAGGCTGAGCAAATCCAGGAAGTGAGCGATGTTCAGAAACAGATTGCCCCTCACGGGTACAGTGTGTTCATGTATGTAAGATTCATCTGTTAGGTAAATTAAAGATGACTCATTAAAGCAGTAAAAAAATATATATATATATAAAGAGTCACTGTGAGACTAAGTGTACATAAGAGACTGATGATGACCTACATGCTAATGCTAACAGACTCCCACAGGAGACACTACTTTATTTGGTTTTTTTTAGAAAAGATGAGTCAGTTACTCAATATTAAACCATTAATCTGATCAGCCTGTCCATTTTTTTTTGTTTTCTTTTTTAATTCTTTTATCCAGAACAGCATTATTATCAAAGATGAATGACTGGCGTTAAAAGACCCAGGCTGGATGCTTCCTCCTCCACCACCGGATACCAGAAGGCCTCCTGCAGTCTTTATTGGGAAAACATCGGCTGGCAGACGCCACGGCGTGAAAACACTGACCTCCGTCGCCAAGAGTCCATCACACCACAGAAGGCATGAATCAATATTGATCCTGGGAGAAAAATACCCAAGATGGTGCAGACACAACACTACGGGAGGTTCCCTTTTGATTGAGGTCCATTTTTTGCTATAATATCAATAACTTGGGGGACATCTGAGCTGTATAGACTAAATGTGTGTATGTGTGGGGTACTGGATAGTCGTCTCTCTCTCTGGTTATTCAAACTGTGCAACAGGAGAAGTGCCCTGGCACTCTTTATGTAACGTGCCAACATAAAAAGAACATTTTGTATTTTGGGTCAGCGAGTTCAGGAACTCAGCTGCTCAATTAAGTGACAATGATGTTAAAAATAAACCCGGAAAATGTGAAGCTTTTAAGAGAAGAAGAAGAAAAGAAATCCCTAAAAAGTTATTCAATTAATGAAGTGTGGCATCTACTCATTGCAAATAATATTTTTCCAGAACGTTATCCAACACAGCTTATGAAACAGCCCCAGTTAAAGGGAGGGGTATGGCTGATGGCCTACAGTCTCATAACCAGGCTTTGCATTCATGTATAACACAGGCCATTATGTAAATGCCACCAACAATTTGATGATATAAGCACCAAAAGGAGCCAGTTCTCAGGCGCTTCGGGGTTGATAAAATACACACACGGATGAGCTGGTGGCAGCTCTGTGTAAACATTACTGCATCTCAGTATAAATAGAAAACAGGCTATGAATGCGGAGCTTTTAATGTAGAGAATGCCATGTGTGCCACTTAGGTAATGAAGGTCAGTGCTCATGTAATGCTTGATTTGGAGTGGCGCCCCTTATGGGTGACACCGGGAAGTGCCGCCGAAAGTAGGTCAGCTGCACAAAAGTGAGGCTTTATTCTCAAGTTCTGGGATACAGAACGTAAAGTTATGGAGGTGTTTGAGTCTTACCCAAAGCCACCGCGGCGTCGTACTTCTCCAAAGCATCCGACAGGTTCTGTGTTTTCCAAAGAGTCTCCCCCTCGATCCAGAGCCTCCGGGCTTTGCTCTCCGTGGCGAAAAGTTTGTCCACAAGGCCACTGATGACAACGTTAACTTTCCGGCCGTTGGGCAGCTTCTCAATCTTGCTCAGTTTGTCCTTGCACTGCACACAATCCGGGAGGGAGTCCTCCTCCAGGCAGCGCTTGCAGAAAGTGTGTCCGCACTCCACGGTGGTGGGGTCGTGGAGCAGGCATTTGCACATGGGGCAGGAGAACAGGTCCAGGGCTCCATCCTCCTCGAATTCCTCCTCCTCCTGGCCCCCATCATCCCCGTTGCCGCTGCTCTTTCCGTGGCCGGTCGAGGTGGAGGTGGAGGTGGAGGCGATCCCCAGCTCCTTCTCGCGGAGGGTCCGGGTGATGGTCTCCACCAGGAGGGGCAGCTCCTCCGGGAGGAGCTTCCCCAGGCTGGCCGCGATGCAGTAGGAGTCCAGGGCCTCCGATATCCGCCCGGCGCGGGCCAGGGAGTCGGCCCTCCGCAGACACAGGCCCCGGTCCGGGTGCTGGAGGTCGGCCATCTGGGAGCTGTAGATCTCCACCGCCAGGTTGTAGTCTCCGGCCCGGTTTGCCTCCTCCGCCACCTCCAGCATCTCGGGGCAGATCCCGGCGGCCCCGGGGTCCGAGAGCGGGTGGAGGAGCTGCTCGCCCTGCTGGGACCTCACTCCGGTCTCCATTTTTTTTTCTCCAGGGGAAGAAAAAACCGGGCGTTAAATTAAAAAAAAAAAAAATCAAGTCAATTACGGTCTGACTAAAGCAGACAATGTTCTCTGCGTGTAGAAATCATGGTGCAGACGAATTCCTCAAAGTCAGTAAGAAGTGCTCAGGTCAAACAGGAAGCTCCACCGGGATCCGACTGGCAGTGATGGCCATTGGAAATAGGTTAGCTCCATTTCCGATTTATACGACCCCAACTCAATAAAATGGGACGCATATATAACAGACTATGTAAGTAGTCAGCTCCGCTTCGCCCGGAACCAAAGTCAGCAAAAAAACCCTATTTCCCACCTAATACATACCCAGTTTACCAGTTTACCCCCTTACGAATCTGATAAGTATCTTAATTTGTTCCAAGAAACGTTGAAATAACTTTAAATCGATTTACTGAAGAGAAGACTCCCAATAATTAAAGCTACCAAGTTCAGCACGAAAAGGCTTTTTCTTAATCGTTTCAAACTACAGATTCAGATAGTGTAAAAACTCAATAGGAAGACGAGTCTTTGGCGTAAAAAAAAATGTTGAACAGACGACAGACTGTGAGGTATAAAAGTCAATATATGAACTACAGACCCACAAGCTCCGCTGAGCCCCGGCCGTTCGCCCGTTTGTTTTTATATAAGACACCCGCGAGAGCTAACGTTAGTTAGCTAACGCCAACTGCTCTTTTACCGCTTGTTGAACTCCGCAAACCGACTCCTTCACACCAAACGTCCCGTACCACTTCCACAATAACGAACCCGGGTGTCATGGTTATGTTCCGACGGGCCCAAAAAAAAAAAAAAAAAGGTCAGAAAAAACATAAACAACGAGAGAACCGAGGCGGCATTTCTCGACGGTTGGTCAGTTAGCTCAACGGCTAAAGCTTATTTGGATTTCACAGCCAATTCGCCGAAGCGAGCGCAGGGGGGTCACGTGACCCACGTCGCGCGTTCCTATTGGACGGCTATGTGGTTCGCTTATATAAGATAATGACATTGTGTAACCCTTCACGGGCGGCGATGAATGGCTGTCTGAGAGCGTCAACAAACTAAGTTCACCGTAGTTCGTTAACGTGACAGTTCACACGTGATAAACCAACGCTATTCTGTCTGGCTTAATATATCGGAGCTAGCTCCGGAGGATAAAGCTTTACATCTGTCTCCTGGTTCAGACAGAACTCCGGTTTTTGGATTGATTCATTGTTTTATATAATACTTTATATAAGCAATGTGTCAGGTCCGGTTTTGGAGTTAAAGCGATGGCTGCATTCCATGGCTGGGTCTTGTTTTTTTTTTAAGCTCAAACAAATATTAAAATGATTTCTTAAAGACCCTCTATTTTAGAGGAATTTACTTTTTTTTCGTGGATTATCAGAACAGCTGTGACCCAGTTCTAACAGTCTCCCACAAAGATGGAGCCTGCCAGAAGAATCAATCTGGGCTGGCCTTAAAATAAATAAATAAATAGATCCTCACTGGAAAGACTCAACATGTAGATTTGTTTTAATTCAGGTTCCATTTCTAAGTATCTTCTGATTATGCAAAAAAACATTTTTCAGTTTAAGTAACTTTAAACAGTTTCTAAACTGTGGAAAAAAATAAATGACCAGTGTAAATGATTCATCTCTCAAAAATATTACTTTTTGTCAATGCAAAGTTAGTCCATAGTACAGACTCGATGGTTATCTTTGACTGTGGTGTGTGGCTTTGTAGTGATTGTCTTCCTGCTTTGTGTGTTTGCTGGATTTTTTTGTGAGATTAGTGTGTTCTCGGGGGCAAATTTAGAGACGGGTAAGGTCATCGCTGCTCGGAAAACAAAGAGGAACACATGGAGTGTGTAGAAATGCGACTTCAATGCTGTGTGAGGGATTTCTTAGCACATTTTGGGTAATTTTTTCTAAGCAAATCTAACAGAAATTCATGCAAGATGTGACATTAATTTTTTACTTATAATGTAACTGGGAGGCGACATAAAATGCAATGCAGGGCCACAAAGAGTACACAATATATAATACATAATTATATAATTATAATTGGTAACAGACAGATTTAACAAGCTCTGACCAAAATTAAATCAGAAATTTAAATGAACTTAAAGTGGAACTGATTTTTGAATGTGTTTAGAAAGTTAATAGAGCCATTTTCATTTTTAAAAACATAGTGACTTTCTGATGAAGATATAACTCTATAATATTCTGTCAGAATTCATCACATTTAACTGCACCGTTACAGTTTTAAGATCTGCTTGAGGCACCATACGCAGGGCTCTTTATCCCAGTTGCAACC